GGTTGAGTGGGAGGAGGTCTCGGACACCGCGGGTCAGGACTGCCTGGATAGCAGTTCGGCCTCTGCGTAGTTGGCGGTGGTGGGGGTTGAGTGGGAGGGGGTCTCGGACAACGCGGGTCCGGGCTGCCCGGATAGCAGTTAGGCCTCGGGGTGGTCGTCGGCTGCGTCTGAAGTGGCGGCAGGTAGGTCGCCGGCTCTCTGGGAGGGCCGGGTGGTCTCGGGCATCTGTATCAAACACAAAAACAAAAATACATTAGTGTACAGGGCCTAATAAATTGACGGTCGCCTCGAACATATCACAATGATCCCTTCTCAGTTTTCCGTGCAGTCCGCGTAGCTAAAACAGCCCAAGAAGCTGCAAGGGAGTCCAAGATGTTGCAACAGTTCGTCTCCCTGCCACGCCAAAATCTCCGCCACACATAATAGTGTATTTCGACTAACGGAGGAAGAAGAACAGCGGGTAGAACATAAACGTTACCGATTGGCCGAGAGCTACCCGCCGGTAGTGGGGGTAGGCGCTCGGCCAATCAGGGACCTTCATGTTCTACCCGCTATTCTTCTTCCTCCGTTAGTCGAAATACACTATTCCCCTGGCCGCATGAGCTCGACGCTCGAGGCCAGTCCCCCCTACTTATGCAAGGGGGACGCAAAGAGACTCTCTCTCTTTCTCTCTCTGCAACAGTTCGTAAATCTGCGTAAATCGGGAGGCAGCGTACGTCTGGGTGCAGGGCCAGTACCAGTGGTCTTTGCCCTCCTTGCTCCGACCCGCTTGCCGTCGGGCCGAACCCTGCCTCTGCGCTTTGGATGCACTTAAACCTTCATGCTCCCGTGCCCTTCACAAACCCACATAAAAAGCGTCAGCCCTATGAGGAAGTTGCCCGATAAGAGGAACAAAAAGAAGGTAGCACTGAGGAGGTGGCGTGGCGTAGCGCCCGTCCCTAACCAAAGTAGAAAGCCGGCGACCATACTGTGTTTTGTCACAAGTGGATGTGTAATCATGAATCAAGTTTTGTAGAATTTGTAAAGAAAAATTGGGTCCATACCAGACCGGCGTAACAATCTTGTGTCGAAAAGTGCTTCTGCAAAGTTTGGCTTCGGAAAAGTAAGTTTATACAATCCTCTAAACCGTCCCGGTGTCGTTGTTTAGGTTTAGGTTAGACATATTGCACTGTGACTATTTTAACTCGACTCGCTCAATGATAATGATAATGACTCAACTGTCGTAATAAACTTCGGTATAGGTGGAACCAAGGTGCTAGATGCACAGGCCCGTTCTAAACTGTCTGAAT